CTTCAAAGGGTGAGTATATTTCTCTTGTGTAGGTTGCTGCTTCAGTGTAGCACCTGATTTCTGACATAGTCTTGCCTATTTGCCCTTGATTCTAAATAGGCCTTGGCTGGAGAGGTTGGAATGAGCAGTGAGTTAGATGATGTGGCCAGGTCTCTTTTTATTGGGAATATCCCTAATATCTGGAGAAAGCTTGCCCCTGACACCTTAAAGTCCCTTGGAAACTGGATGGTCTACTTCCTACGACGGTTTAGCCAGTACACGCTGTGGGTGAGTGATGCAACACTATCTCTCTGCTGGGTCAACGTGGACTTCCTCAAACCACCTCTCAACAACTTCTGCCCATTCCCCAGCAGAAGGATAAATTCTGTTAAAATTTATTGGGTGCTCTAGAAATGTTCTTAGATTCTATAAGTATATGTATATATTCCATTTTTCCTTCTCTTTTTTGTTTTTAAGACTTTTTATTTTTGAGATGGAGTCTGTCTTTGTTGCTGGAGTGCAGTGGCATCATCATAGCAACCTCAAATTCTTTGGCTCAAGTTATCATGCTTTAGCCTCCTGAGCAGCTGGGACTATAGGCACCAGCCACCACACCTAGCTAATTTTTCTATTTTTAGTAGAGACAGGGTTTCACTCTTGCTTGGATTGGTTTCAAACTCCTGTGCTCAAGTGATCCTCCTGCCTCGGCCTCCAGGGTGCTAGGATTATAGGTGTGAGCCACTGTGGCAGGCCTATTTTTAAGACTTTAAAGCATACTCTATATCAAGCATCCTCAAACTACGGCCTGTGGGCCACATGTGGCCCGCCTAGGACATTTATCTTGCCTGCCGGGTGTTTTTGCTGCCGCTGCCTGTTCTGCTTAGCAGCCGACTCATCCCGGGGCCCACAGTCCCCCTCCAGTGGTCTGAGGGACAGTGAACTGGCCCCCTGTTTAAAAAGTTTGAGGACCCCTGCTCTATATACTTGATTATTTTGTCTAAGAGAATATCTTGGCATTGTTTCATACTAGGATATAGTGATCTAACTCATTCTTTTTAGAGTACTGGTTACCATATATATATATATATTTGCTAAAACAAACAACATTCTGGTGCATGTCTGTGAATACAGGTATGAGTATATTCTATGAGTAAATTCCAATAATGCAGTTGGATCAAAGAGTGTATACATTTAACTTTTGACAGGTCCTCTCAGATGGTTCTTTAGAAGAGTCCAAATCTCCATATATGATTAGGATTCTTTTCTCACCCCTCTACAACACTGTATATTCTTTTTTTTTGAGATACAGTCTCACTTTGTCACTCTCGGTAGAGTGCTGTGGTGTCACATCTGTATATTCTTAATATTTTGGATCGCTGTCTCCCTGATGGGTGAATAGTATCTCATTGTTTTGCTTTGCATTCTGTAATTACTGAGTGTATTTCACATGCTTACATTTTCTTTTTCTGTGAATTATTTTCATACCTCAATTTCATTTTTATTGTCTCCATCTTTTTCATTGATGTTTAGGAGCTCTTAGTATGTTAAAGAAATTAGCCCTTCATCTGCTAGTGCTGCACATGTTTTTCCCAGCTTGTCCTGAGTCTTAACTTTTTATGTTATTTTTTCTATAGAAAAGTTTTAAATTTTGTGGTCACATATATTAGTTTTTTTTTTTTTAAGGCTTCTGGGATTCATATTTCCCACTTCATGATTATGAAAACATCCTTTGGAGATTTCATCCAGTAGTTTTGTGGCTTTATTTTGTTTTATAGCTCAATCTTTGATCCATCTGGAATTTGGTAGTCCGGCTTATTTCCCAAGTGGGCTGCCTGTTGTGCTGACACCATCTTTTTGCCACTAAGGTGAAATATACCTTTACCACATGCTGTACTTCTATAGCTGGCTTTGACCCTGGCAGGTGATGGCCGTGCCAGGCTCCCACCATTTGCCCCTGGCTCCTTCCAGGTCACCGAGAGTGAACCCAGTGTGATGTGGCTCTCAGGGCTGCATATCCCAGAATCCTACCTTACGGCTCTGGTGCAGGCCACCTGCCGGAAGAATGGCTGGCCCCTGGACCGTTCCACCTTGTTCACACAAGTGACCAAGTTCCAAGAAGCAGATGAAGTGAACGAGCGGGCAGGACAAGGTACGGTCAGCTGGCTGTGCGCCCACTGGTCTCCCTCAGGGTTTCTTTCCCTGAGACAACCCCGGCTCAAAGGCACAAGCATAGTGTGCACCAGAATGCACAGGTCCTGTTCAGGAGCCATTCATGTGTGCACTGCCCATGGCTTGGTGCTGCTGAGGGTGCATACACAAGTTCTCATCCACTGTCTCCATTGACACCTGGGGTTCTCAAGGCAGACCTGAACCATGTCCACCCTGCTAGTTTGTGGGGAATGAGCTCCTACATCAGAGTTGCTCTTGCTAAGAATTAGTTCAACAGGTGGCTTCCCTGTAAACCTGGGGCCAGGGGCATGGGAGCCAGAGCACAAAGTGGACTAGCTTGGTTGGGACCATTAGATTATGCTATAACTTCAGGTCCCTTAGACATTGGTTACTGACTATGCAAACGATAGCTAGAAACTACTATTTTTGTGGGGCCATGTTGCATTAGAGGCCATTTAACTGCAAGGAAAAAATACTCCCGAGCTAGTTTAAGGAGTGTGTATTTTCAGCAAAGCTTCGGGCCTCTCATAGGTCCCAGCAACAGGCGTCCAGCAGGTTCTCGGGAACAGGCAAGTGTCCAGGCTGCCACTCTCTGGGGCTAAGTGATTGTCCTCTTTTCTGCTGATCTCTGCACATCTGCTGCACCCTTTTCCCCAGAGATGACTCCCTCTGTGAGGCTTCAGCTTCTAGAGCCACTTAGCTCACAGGGGAGCTAGGGTTGCCATGGTGCCCACTGACTCCAGTGCCACTTGTCTTTGTAGCCTGAGGGCCCAAGTGTTCTAAGTCTGTAGCTTTGAAGCCACATACCTGTGGAGAGGATCTGCTGGGGAGAGGGGACCATCCCTCATCCATGTCTTTGGGACCATGAGGGAGGTTATGGGGTCTACAGTGTCTCCTGTCTGGGCTGTCCCTCTAAAAGGGAAAGTGGGCAGAACAGAAATGGAGAAAGGCCTGGGCTGTGTCCTTGGTGCCTTGGGCAAGTGCTATCAGTGCATGGCAGAGTATGGATGCCTTTGCACATAGCTCCTCTTCCCGGTATCTCTAGGATGCTTTGTCTCAGGACTGTATCTAGAAGGTGCTGACTGGGATTTAGAGAAAGGATGTCTTATCAAGAGCAAACCCAAGGTGCTGGTTGTGGACCTGCCAATCCTGAAGGTCATCCCCATTGAAGCCCATCGCCTCAAACTGCAGGTGAAGGCCCGCTCTCTCCTCTGATGTCAGTCCCCTGTGGTAGTGACAGCTGAGGTAGTTTCCAATGGCCATGCCTTTAAAAACAGGGGCTGTTAACCTTTGTGGGCTGGGGAGGCCTTGGAGATATGATACAAAGCAGTGGAGCTACTTCTGAGGAAGACACACAGATGCATGTACATATGTGTGATCATTCCACAAGTGTCAGGTTCAAGTTTAGATCCTACGGTCTAGCCTTGCTGAGACTCCCTCTCTTCTTGTGAAATTCTGTGGAGATGGTTTGAATTACAAAGTAGTGACACATGGTGTGGACAGCAGGTGTCCTCTCTTTGCCCCAGCCAGGATCCACGATTAACAAGTGTATCTGTGTGAAGCCCAGTCCCCATTAAGTTGGTGGTGGGTGGCCTTTGTTCTCAGATGCAGCCTTGCTCCAGGGCTTGCTGCCCTTAGATTAGCCAGGGACAGGAGCCTACAGGAACTTTTTCAAATCCTCTCTCTGTGGAGCGTCTCACCTGCCTTTCCCTTGCAGAATACCTTCCGGACCCCTGTCTACACCACCTCCATGAGAAGGAACGCTATGGGAGTTGGCTTGGTTTTTGAAGCTGATCTCTTTACCACAAAGCACATTTCTCACTGGGTGCTACAAGGGGTATGCCTCACCCTCAATTCTGATTAAGATTTGGGAAAAGAAAACTGGATAACAAATCCTGAGCTGGGGGTTAGTGGGGAATGCTCTGGGGCTTGGAGAAGGAGGATGTTGTTTGCCGTCATTTCTTGGGGCCTCTCAAGGGGCAGGAAGAGATTTACAATGATCTTCCTTACATTGGAAATCAGCCATTTAAATCTTTCTATACAAATTAACCTGATGGTTTTGAGCTATTTTTTTTCCTTTCAGAATTTTATATATTCAAAAAGTAAATACTAGAGAGCATTTTAAGATGAGTTGAGTTTTCTTTTCATTCTCAGAGGAAACACTTGATTAAGCAGAAGTGCCTGGCATATCACTGGCCCAAATGAGAGTCCTAATGTAAATTTCCAAATGGGTGTTTTTGACAGTCCAGGTCTGTTTCAGCAGATGCTCCTCAGAAGGCTGAGGCTGCTGGGGGAGGGATTCCAGGCAGACCCCTTCTCTGTGAGCTGATGGCAGGCAAGGCTGATGAGGCCAGACACAGAGAGGAGGTGGCCAGAATCATCTACAGCCACTTCTCCCCATTCCAGAACTGTGGCCTCAGGTCCTTTGGCTCTGACTTGCCAGGTATTCATAAGGCTGTTGAGCTTATTTAATTCCTGTGCTTTTAGCCCCAACCTGCTGAGTTTATTTGGGGTTGGGCACAGACTTGGAACCTCGGGAGCCAGTGGCCACTGGGTACCGGCTCTGTGTTCTCTGAGCCTGGCCTGGATCCCTGGCCAAGCCGGCTGGAGGCAAGGAGTAGCTTTTACTCCAAGAGGGAGGGGCAGGGTTGAACACTGCAGGAGAGAAGGGCAGAGACCAGTCCCAGCAAAAGAGGCTTCAGCCAGACCCTCAGAAGTACAGACAGTGGAAGGAATAGCTCTGGGCTGGGAGAAGGTAGTAGTTACCGCCGGGACCTGCTGTTTCTCCCCCTCCCGTGATCTCCTTCCAGCCCTCCCTTGGGATTTAATAAAAGACACAAAACAGAAAGAAGGCAGGTTTAGAAAATAAAGTTTGTTGGGATCTTAAACATTTTGGATAAAACTAACAAAAAATATGAACACACGTTCAGGTTGTGGTGCTATGAGGAGTAAAACTTCATCTTATTTAGTTCCTTTAGATACACACACAGTTGCTTGGTGATCGGTGCCGCCCTGGGAAAGGTCTGTTGGGAGGTTACTAAGTCTCCAGGAGGGAGCAGGGGTGCTCCAGACAGGCTGCCCTGGAGCCTGGGGAGGGAGGTCAAGGTTGATATGTGTTGCTCCCACTTTGTAATTAGGCATGAGAATATCTGATTTCATGAACATCGAGTAGTGATGCAGCCCGAGGCCTGTGCTCTGCCCACAAGTGCACTTAGCTCACATGGAGTGGGATTAGAAGCAAGCGAGCTGCACGCAGGTGCCTGGCCACAGCAGTTGGTAAATATGTATTCTGCAGCAGGGACACGATCATATTTTGCTGTCAGTAAGAGGACAAGAAAAGCAGAAGGAGAAGAATTGGTAGACGGGTCTGAAAAAAAATTTGGCATGCATGGGAAAAAAATAAACAGAAGGTGTGAATGAGTGTTTTCTAGTGGTGCTCACAGTGCGACGAAGCCGAGGGGCCATGGCCTCAAACAGTTCTGTCCGTGCCTGGGTGCTTTCTCACAGCTTTGCCTCCGTTCACCTGGTCGACCGCCAGTGTCTCCACCTCAGGCTGCGCCTGCGGTGGGGCCACATGGTGGATCCGGTGGGCCACTCCCACGTGGGCCTTGTGCTGCTTATCGCGGGCTGGGCTGTGCTGCTCACTGGTGCTGCGCTCGGAGGCAATGGGCGGTATGAGAGGCCGCTCTTTGAGGTGGACCTCCGCGGACTCCCGGGCCAGCAGGAATGGGGTGGGGTCAGGCATGGCATCTACCGGTTCCCGCAAAAGTAGTTTCCGGCTCTCAGCCCCAAATCTGTAGACCTCTTCGAATTCCGGGTGCAGGGGAGCCGAGAGACTCTTCTTCATGCGGCGGCGAGGCGTTTCGGGCAGCTTGTCTTTGGGAGGTGCCGGCTTATAGCTGGCCAACACGGGACTCCCTGACGGGCTGGCGTCTGAGGTCCCACTGGAGCTCAGGAGCTTCTTCTTGGTGGCATGCAGCTGGGAGGTCAGGTAGGCGATGGTGCCCGCCCGCTGCTCCAGCTCACTGGACAGCAGGTTCAGCTTGTGGCTCTTCACCTTCAGCTCCTCCAGGTACTTGCGTTCACGCTCACGGATGGTGTTCTCCAGTACTGTGATCATGGCGTCCTTCTGCTCCAGTTCCTTTAACAGCTCCGCGTTCTCGTCCCCTTTGACTTTCAGCTGAGCTTCCAGTTCCTCACACCTTTTCTTCAGTTCACTGCTTCTAGAAGACCCATCGCCTACAAGAAGAAGTCGAGGCAGCAGGTGAAGAACCCACTAGACGGAGGCAGCGCCATGACGCCTGGGGGCAGGCGTGGGCAAGGGCTGTGTCACAGCCACCTCGAGAGGCTGGGCAGGGGAAGGCCAGGCCCTTTCCAGCTCTCACTTCACTAGCTCATTGCATAAAAGAATGTGTCCCAATTTTAAACTTGCTGAAGTTCAAACAGGCAATTTTAGGTAGTGGTAAATCCCTGCTACATTCAAAACACTGTTTTGAAACTCAAATGTAATAATTCTTGTCTAAGACACAAATACTCCTTTTTTTTTTTTGAGATGGAGCCTCAAGCTATCCCCCTGGGTAGAGTGCCATGGCATCACGCTCACAGCAACCTCCAACTCCTGGGCTCAAGCGAGTCTCCTGCCTCAGCCCCCCAAGTACCGGGACTACAGGCGCCTGCCACAACGCCCGGCCCACGCCTGGCCATTTTTTTTGGTTGCAGCCATCATTGTTGTTTGGCAGGCTGGGCTGGGGATTCGAACCCGCCACCTTAGGTGTATGTGGCTGGTGCCTTAGCCGCTTGAGCCACAGGCGCAGAGCCACAAATACGCTTAAGAGAGGTCAAGATGTCACATTTCCTTCGCTTCTGGTTTCCTCTCATGGCCTCTCATCCTCTCCCGCCTCCTACTTAGAGAGTGAGGCTTCCCTGTCCCTGTGTCCACCCTGACACCAGGGGCCGCTGCCTAGTTCTGCTGCCCTGTGTACCTGCCCTCACCCTGCCTGCTGCACACATCACCACCCCACCACCTCTGCTCATTTAGTGACCTGTAGACCTTGTCCCCAGCTGTCTGCACTCACACCTGCTGGCTAAACTCCAGACCCAGTGCTATGACTCTGCTTGTCCTCATATTGCCTGGCTGGCCTTCCTCCTCACCTGGCTCCTAGGAAGTTCTTTCTAGACTCTTCCTAGCTGTTCTAGAATAAACTTTGAGTCAGCTCCTGAGTCAGCATCTCCTGAGTGCCAGTTCTCCCAGTGATGGTCCTTCAAATGTAAATAGATGTTCCACTTCCCACATTGCTATCTTCCTAGCTAGACTGAACCGAGACATTCCATAGGCTACTTATGGCCCTTCCCTCCCCAGCTCTGCTCATGCCCCCATGGCCTGTGTCAGCTCTTGGCAGACTTATCTAGCTCTTCTGCTCCCTGCTCCTGCTCCCTAGCCTTGCTCTGGCCCCTCTGGTCACTCAAATCCATCTAGCATTTAGGAAGCTTGGTCACCCTTTCTACTCTGCTGTTCAAACATGGCTCCTCATTACCTGATAAAATCTGAACTGCTAAACAGCCTTCATTTCCTTAGTGTCCCAGTGTTACCTGCTCCCACCAGCAGCCCTGCCATCCACCTTGCCCTCTTATTATTTCTTTATCATAACTTCTGTCCTCTGAGCAAACTTCAGACCTGTGTCCATCCCCTTGAGCAAAACTCACTGCCTGAGGCCCCGCCCATGTTCTGGCCTGAGCTGGCCGACTTTCCTGAGCCTCTGCTGTCTTCAGAGCCTCTGTCTCTTTGAGTCCCCTAGCATTTCCCCACTGGCCTGAGCTGGCAGCTTTTGTAACATGTTCTATCATCCAGACACATAGCTTCTCAAGGCCCTATGGCGGATTGTACTTGTTTTGTGCAGGGCTTCTTAGGATTGGGCAGAGTTTGGGAAGCACCAATGTAAAGCAATGATGTTCACTCCGGGGAGGGCAGACGCCCCACCAGAGCCTCATGAGGAGGGGCTTTCCATTGCCTCCACACTGAGATATACCCCGAAAACCATTACCATAGAGACCCTGCTACTGCTGAGAGGACCATACCAGGTGAGCGGGTGGCCCTGAGACTCAGGGTTGAGAACGTCAAGTGGAGAAGCCAAAGGATAAAACTATGCATTTACAGATTAGCCTGGGCCAAGAGGGGACAGGGAGGGAGGATGCCATGGTTTCCATGACATGGGGAGTGGAGGCTGGGCCCCCAACATTAGGTTGAAATCTGGATTTCTGGAGGCCCAACTCCTGGCCTCAGGGCCTATGGGACGGAATCCTGGTATCCCTCCTCTATAGGCAGAACCTGAGGGTCGGCTCCTGTTGCAAGCCCTTAGAAGTCTGGCCATGCCTTCTCTACCACACACAGATGAAAAGATGTCCTGGCTCCTGAAAGGAGCACTTAAGAGACTGTAATGTGAATTACACAAGGGGAAAACTCAGTGCTCAGTAATACACCAGAACTGGAAATAGTCCATGTTTTTTACAAGGAATTGGACGCTCTTGTGAATAATAACTACCATCGTGAAGCCTATAAGCACACATCTTGCCTCACATAGTCTGCATTCTCTAAATCGCCACACTGTTCTGAGTTTGCTATTTGTAATAGGCACAGAGGACCCTGGCAAGGCCCAGGCTGCTGTCTCTCCACTCTTGGCTGCCATCAGACTGACACCCCTTGGGATTCCCCAATGTCTCAGAGGTTTCCAGTTGGGGGAAGCATTTCTGGGGCTGCAGTCAGGAGAAAGACAGTCATTGATCTTCTCTGGGCCACCTTATACAGTGATCACTCACCCAGCCAGTATTTAGAGAGCACCTGCTCTCTTCCAGGGCCCTTGCTAAGGTGTAGGGCCTGGGTAGGGGTATGTTCTGCCTACGTGTTGCTGCTCCTCCTCTTGGGTTTAAATCACATCTATTTTTATGTCTTGATTACACAAGAAACATATGCATTGTGGAGAAGTCAGAAATCTAAAAAAGCATAATAGACACTCCAAATATATGCATTAATCAAAAGAAAATTACTCATTATCCTGCCCACTGATAACCGCTTATAACACTGAGGGGTCCAAACATCCTTGTCATTTCTTCGAGAGCTCTTGCCACATATGCAATTCTTCATGGCAAATGTGTTTCCTTCAAAGTGTATAACTAGTGAAAACAAATGGTACCAACACAAACCACAAAAAGAAGCAATACTGTCATTAACGTTTGGGGAGGAGGTCTTACCTGTCTGCTCAGAACTTTTGAGTGTCAGCTCGTATGTCAGATCTAAAAAGGAAATTTTATACGTTAGTTCTGTTATGGTACACTTCAAACCTTCATCAGCTCTGGAAATGCAGAAGCAATTCGCATGAGTAGGTAGAGAGTTGTGCCCACACAGAGCAGGGTTTGGTAGTCTCAGAGGCAAGTATGAGAACAGCAGAAAATATCAGTGGCCACTATCCTTACTAGGGTTAAGAGGGGACCCTCCTTTCCCCTAAAAGCCCCCTTTCCCTTTCTTCCAAAACACTCCACAGTGGAGGAGCAGCTTGCTCTATTATTTCCCACACAGGCTACATCTTGGTTATCCTTTCCAAAATGCATGGTAAATTGTAACAATTTTATTTTGATCTTTTAAGTCCTCAGTATGCCAAGGAAAGGTTTTGCAGCTTCAACTCAGTGTGTTTCCATTATGCAATACACTCACATGGACTCCCATGAGGACAGGGAGCTGGCGAGGGCCACTGGGCCAGATGGTTATCCAGCCTCTGCGACCTGCCACCAGGCTCTGCTGTGCCCCTGCCCCAGTGTACCTGTGCAGTGTTGCTGTAGCCGCCTGATCTCAGCGTGCAGCCCCTTGAGCGTGCTGGCATGCTCTCGCTGAAGGAACAAGAGGTTCTTCTGCGCACTGTGCAACTGGTTCTCCAGGTTTGTGGTTGCCATGCTGACATCCAGGTGATCTGAGGGAAACACAGACCCTGGTTGCTATCTCTGACAATGATGGTCCCGGGGTGATCGGCTGGAAGAGGGAGCTGTCCTCTGCCTGCCCTCCTTGGCTCTGAGTACACAGGGCTGTGCACCTCCAAGGAGAAAGCAGGAGGAAACCAATGGAGCCTCAGGGTAGGGCCTGGGGGGCTATATTCCCGTCACAGCAGGGAAGCCCAAGTGCAGTGACAGAAGCCTCTGCTTCCTGGCACACCAGCGAGCTATGCTCAGTGCAGTCGTAAGTCACCTCATTTGCTTATGAGGAAATAGGTTAAGAGGAGGATTAATGAGTGTGTGGGGGGGGCACTCACATACCCAGTAAGTATAGAGTAGGGGTTCACATCCAGGGCCCTGATTCTAAATCTTCTCCTTGACATATACCACCTGACCTCAACAGACTGTGACTGGCCCAAATTAGACCTACAAGATTCTACTGTCAAGGGAGGCACTGAGTGCTTCCTCATAAGGAAACCTGGCACTAGGAAATGGGGTGAACGCTTCCTCTAAATGGCACCTGGGGCAGGCCAAAGCAAGAAGAAGAGGCAGAGTGGCCCCGAATCCTTAGGAATGTCATGGGGCCATGTGGTGGCTGCATCTGGGGGTCTATCTCCAGCCCCTTCCCTCCCCCACCCCACTTTGACTTCCATCATCCAAAGCCCACGAAGAGCCTCAGGTTCTTTGCCTTTACTGTAACTTGAGAAATGTAGTAAAGCCAAACAGTCTTTCTAGAAAAGCTACCAGAGTAATTCAAGACTTTGCAAGTGCTGAAAAATAACCAAGGACAAACTGTGGATTATTTGCTTATAAATTATTCTTGTAAATACAGAGCCTCAGAGTATAGCGTCTTTAATTTGCTATACCAGAGAACCCACCCTAAAGGAAACACGACTTCTCAAAGACTTCCAGTACACAGCATATTTGTAGGATGGCATGATGGGATGATTTTGGAGACCGTGACGCATCCAGGCTGTCAACATTTCGGGCAATACTGATCACTCCTCAAAATTTGTAAGACCAGTGATGTGTTTACACACTAGCTCTGGAGCTAGAAATGCTTCCTAACTGCAACTTAAGACACACTTTCATTGACACAAAGCATGGTCTACTCAGCAGAGGCTACAGATGCCATAAAGGCAACCTGAAAAATGCAGAGAAGAAAATAAAATGACACCAACAGAGTATAGGAAGAGAAGTGACTAATGTCACATCCTAAAAAGGACCAGGATAAAAACAATAGGATGTTTCACTTGGGGGCAGAAATGACAAGAGAAAGCAGTGACCACCAGGGAACAGTTCAGGTTTGGTGGGACTGTGAATGGTGCCCCTCACCTTAGGCAGCAATTCAGCAAAGCCTATCAGAAGCCTCAGAATCGATCATCTCTCTGAATTAGCAAGTTTACTTCTAGGAATCTGTCAAAGGGAAATTAGTACTGTGTGAAAAGAGGTAGCTGTGAGAATGATCATTACGGTACACCTTGTAGTCAGAAAAGCCTGGAAACAAACTCAAATGCCACTAACAGGAAGCTGTGACATAACCCTGGGGGTCCTCCCTAGGTCCGTTTCCTTGAAACAGTCCTGGCCTGTGGTTCACCAGGCTTCCTTCCTGAAGATGATGCCAGAGCTGTCTCCGTCACACAGGGCTTTCCTCAGTGGAGGTGTGAGAAAGGCAGGAAGGAGAAAGAAAAGTTTCTGCCTTAACTCATCCGCTTCAACTACAGACTCTCCCTGTACAGGCTCTGGAGCCCCACGGGCCCTGAGGTCCCAGCATTGTGTATGCAGCACGTGGCCTCGAGAATCACCAGCCAGAACAAAGGCAGGTTCTGAGAGTGAGCCTCCTGAGCCACATGCTGACCTTACCCTTCCCTAACAAAGCAGAATGCGTAGAAGCTGAATAGCCACAGTCCAGGGTGCTACCTGTGCCTTCAGCACTGTCCACGCTTGACCTCCACTCAGCAACGCCAGCATCTCACCTGGGATGCGGATCCTCAGAGCTGAGGGGGATTTGGAAGTGGAACTCCAGATGAGTTGCCTGGCAATATTTTAAAAGGACAGCCTCGAATCTGAGGTTCTGCTGGTTAATAGGAAAAGCAGAGCCCATATTTTAGCAGCTTGTCGGTGAAGACTGAGGACAATTTGACTTTAATCTGGAACATAGCAGGTCCAGGAGGACAGGTCTAGCACCTCACCCCTTCTCCAACATTCTCCCCAGCTGTGCGCCTGTAAGTCACCTGACTTCAGAATCACTGGCCACTTGTTTCCAATCCATCAAGTTTTCTTAGGGATCTATCTTCAATACTAGTTTTCAAATTCACTCACTTTCCCCCAAGGCTGCCATCACTCTCACCCAAAACACTGCAAATAAACCACCCTCTGTCCACCCTTGTCTGCTCCATTCCTTTCTCCACACAGCAGAATTATTAAAAATAAAATTGAGACTATTTAAAAATATTCAATGATTCCTACTGTTCTGAGAATCAAGTGGGTTTGCCCAGCCCTGAGACTGGTGCTGCCACCCCCTGGCCCATCCCCTACTCCAGACACCTTGTGGCACCAGTTTTCCTCCAGGTCTCACGATGGGGCCATGTCCTTCCCACTTTGATGCCCTCTCGTGGCTCCTCTTCTGCCCAGAACTCCCTTCCCAGCCCCTCTCTTTTGCCCACCTTTCTACCCACCATCTGGGTCTTAGCGTAAGATCATTTCCTCCTGGAAGTCTTGGCCTGCCACATTAAGCAAGGTTCTTCTGCAAGCCCATGGCAACTGACATGTCATGCTCTGTCCCTAGTTTTAGTTCACTCCCTCTGTGTGGGTGTCTGTAAGGGCTAGTATGCCACTGCCCTCTCAGCCCCAGCATGGTGCCTGTGGCAGCACTTGTTAAATGAATGAGCTTCTTAAATGAATGTTTGGTGCACAACTGTGGCACCAGAGCAACACGAGACCTTCAGGGTTATAGAGCCTTTAGTTTACAGGCATGCCTTGCTCAAAGAAAACGTGATACACCAAAATATTTTAAAACTTCAAAGGAATTTCACTCAGCCCCAATAGCACAAAATGACATGCGCCTAGACATGGAAATACATATTCGCTTCCACAGCCTACCACAGCGGGCAGGACGGGAGTGAAATTGCAGTCTCAGTGGCTGCAGGTGCCCCATCCCAATCATAGTGCGGTATTAAATTTCATTTGTAGCAAATTTAAATATGACTTACATGAGCATTCATACTCTAAACTGCCTTGGTAAATCAGCAACTTTGAAAGGTAACAACTCTGTATTTCGTGAATCCACTATGGTATCTACAGAAATAAAAATGTGTCCTTGAAGCTTCCCATCATTATAGGTAGACAGCAGGGATGAGAAGGAATGCAAGGTGAACAGCAAGAGTAGGATTACACAATTGACCAGGCCGCACGTGAGCTCCAGTGACACCACTTGGAGTCCAGACAGCTGGAGGACAGGGATCTCCCACCTGGTAACATTCACTGTCGCTCTCCCCTTCCCTACTCTGTGCTGACTTAAAAGGCTCTAATGTGGATGTGCCATCTGTGCAGGGCACTCTGCAGTTGTTAGGATATACACGGACAAGAAATGTCCTCTTGGGGCCAAGGAAATCAATATCCAAATGGCATCTAACTCACTCAATTATTTTCTAAATAAAACAGTATCTCTAACTTTCAAGGGCAAAAGAGTTGCTGCAGTTTAAAAGCAGTGATGTCTTCAATTTTTATCCTTAGCTGCTGATGACATGTAATCACTGTAATGATTTAATCCTTCCAGTAGTATGACGTGCATGAAGCTATGAAAGCATCTTGTTTAGGCCAAGACAACACACCTGAGAGATACAGCTAATTCAGAAGAAATGGACTTGGTCCTGAGAGGCTTAATTCAGTATTTGAGGCACTCTAAGCATCAGAAACATGAAGGAGCGTCCGCGACCAATCCTGAAGGGGCCAGTGTGCTGGATGGGAGTGGAAGTGCAGGCGTCTGCTGCAGATGAATACCACATCTTGTGACTATAGGTCTTCACCCCATCTGAGTTGTGTGTCAGCCAGCAATGGAGGGCAACCCTCATCGACCCGGTCTTGCAAGGCACTAGACTTTCTATGTCAAAGGGCATACACATAAATTGTGGACTCTCTGTACTGCAGCCTTTGTCTTCAGGAAATCTGATTTTGTTTCTAAGTATTGCTGGGAGCTTTCAGCAATTTTTACAGTTATCTGGGCAACCAACGGCAGCACAGCCTGGACCCTGGTCCTCTTCTCCAAGTGGACTGTCAACTCCAGGGCTGGCCCCACGCTGGCAAATGTGCGCAGGCCTACTACTTCTTCTCCGGCAGGAGCAGTGCAAGTGCGTGCTTGCAGGGTAGAGATCTGCGGTATAAGTTACCTTGATTATGACTCAAAGGCTAAGCCTATATGGGCATTTTCTCCCATGGTAAATTCGCTAAGTATTTCTGTTAATTTACTGTTTACAAATTCAGAAAATTAACATTCACAAAAGCCTTTCCACTCCAAACTCTAGAGAGATGGGCTCTGAAGACCCATGAAGCAGCTTCCTGAAGTGGGAGGGGGCAGCATGTTGTAAAGAAGGATGTTGGGGAGAGAAGGGCCCCGCTCACTGCTGTCCAGCAGGAGGAGGACAGCCACCTGGTCAACAGCTTGAGTCTTCTTGTCATCCTAATCCAAAAGTGCTGCTCCTGCCTCTCAGAGAATTTTGTATAAATGATGACATAATCTTATTTATGGACCATCTTGACTTGCATGAGCACAAAGTGCTTTCCTGTCACCGAGGTCATTTGCTCTCACTGTACCCCTCTGAGGGAACAGAGGAAAATGTCCTACTGAAGAGAAGGACATAAACCAAGCAATGCATCTGAGCCGCAGTTTCTCCCAGCCCTCAGTCTCTGTGGGTAAAAGTCCCGAGGTTTGAGGCAGATAGAATTTCATCAGAAGGCTCGGCGCCTATAGCTCAACCGGCTA